TTTCTGACGAAGTCAACTTCGTATCTGACTGGTCTACTCAGTTTCTTAGTCATCAACGTGGTTTCTGAGTCGTCAACTACGTTTTAACTGTTCGACATCGTATTCTTTTTTTCTACTTTCTTCTCGTTCTTCATAATAGCGCCTCGCCGTCACATCCAGCACATTATCACGTCACCACACGTCGCGCGAACGTCGCATGACTCAATCTGGGCGGCGGTACGCACTCTCCTGTCTCCTCGCGCACGAAATAAAAAAAAAGTTTGGAAAAAGTGCAGCAGCCTTGCCCCTGGCACTGGCATGCAGCCCGCCGCGGTCCGCTCGGGTCAGTCGGCTACGAGTGCATCACGCAGCCCACGTAATTATGCAAATCAGTTCATCCGGCCGCGTCCGAGGGAGAGAGACACGTCACTCCGCCGACACATTAGAGGCTGTAATCCGCGTCCGCGACGGGTGGGCCCACCAGACAGGAGACGACCCCGATTTTCAATTTTCGAAACGGCGTCACCCACTGGGCGTGTTTACAAACTGTCGCGACGGTCGCGAAGAAAATTGCAGGAGGGCAAAAGAAATAAAAGTGCTCGAGTCAACTGGACGAAACCAGAGAAAAAGACGACAAGCCCTAAAGTAAACGGCGGGATTTCTGCTGTCACCTCCCCCCCCCCCGTTTTCCACCCAATACAGAGGGCCCCCTCCCAAGGACGCGCACACGTAGCGTGGCGTGGGAGTCTGCCAGGCAATTACAAGGTGACGAACCACAAACAAAAACAGAGTCCCCATGGTCCCGCAAGCGAGAGAGAGAGCGAGGGCGTAAGAAAGTGTGTAGGCTACGACACACTCTTTTCTTTTCCCCGCAAAATTTCGTTGGAAATGTAAGATTTCTTACCTTGAACTTTTCTGTTTTGAAATTTAGGCATTGGGCGCCCAAATTCAAACATTCTGCGCCAAAATTCAAAAATTCCACGCCGAAATTCAAACGTTCCGCGCCTAACTTTAAAAATTGTGCGCCCTAGTTCAATATTTCTGAGTCCCAAATGTCAAAAATTCAGCGCTAAAATTCAGACATTCCGCGCCCTGGATAAACTGTAAACAGAGCCATCACGCGGCGTGTGGTGTCGGCACCCGTCGGCATACGGCAAATGATGACGTCCTATCAATTCCCCCCGCGTGGCTTGCAGCGTACGCGCAGAGTAAGGCGTACCGCGCGAGGCGTGGCGCAAAGCGTCTAATAGACTGCTCCCCGCACGCATGCAACGTCGGCACATATGCTCATTTCGCCGTCCCCAGGGTCAGGACGTCCTGGGAGAAAAGCAACCCGCCACGAGGCTCGCAGCACGCAGTCTCAGACAGACAGCGTTTTCAGTGTAGGAGGTTATATCGAAGATCAAAATCTTTAGTTTGGATTAAGTCAAATTTAGAGTGGCGACTTTCAATACTGTCAAACTTGGACGATAACAAAGTTTGAGATTTTTTTCTTTTCAATAAAAAAGTATCGAATTTTTAGAAAAATTCAATTTTAAAAGTACCAAAGTTTGAGAGAATCTAATTTTAACATTGAATTTTGAGAGCATCGAATTTTGAGTTCCTCATATTAAGAACGTTGAATTTTGAGAGTAGCAAATTATTGGGAGCTCCCAACAACCCTGGGGTCAATATTCGAGAATATCTTACTTGGAGAGTATCTAATTAAAAGAGTACCGCATTTAGAAAGTAACGAATTGCTCAAAACCGAGCTTTCAAGGGTCTGGAATCCAGAGTGTCCTTCCCGACGCGCAGTAAATCCCGAAACGAGACGCACCCGCAATGTTAGAAAGTGAACGCAAATCAGAATTTACGGTGGCGCCGCGACCGGCCCAATTTCGTGATGGATACTCGCTTAATTGATAATTTCAGCGAGCGCGGTCCGGGTGAGCGGGCCCGACCGTTGATTGGCTCGGCTCGGTGGCAACCGTCCAATGCCCCCCCCCCCCTTTCCCCCCTTTCACCGTCCGCCACTGCAAACACACGATCGGAATAGAAGGCAGTGCACTAATGCCGTTTTTAATCTCACGACTCGCATTCGGGACCGGATTCGCTAATCAGGCACTGACATTCCCAACACTGCTCTCGTCGCTCCGTCTCTCTCGCACTCATAGGGGCGCGCCGTGTGGGTGTGGGAGAGAGCGACGAAAGCCGTGTTCGGAAGCAGACTAATATCCAGAGCGCGGAAAGAAAACAGGGAGCTGTTATCAGCGGAGAAAAAATCCGACGATGGACTAGAGCCACTTAGCCTGCCGGACCTTGCATTGGGACCGAAGGGTATTGACAGGTGCCTCCAACTGGACACTCAGGTCCAAAACATTTAATATTTTTTTCGGTCGGTCGGTGGCCACACTGCAGAAAACGCATTTTTTTACCCGCTTCGCGTCGGCCACGCCACTGCAAGGGACCGCAGCGACACCGTGAAAAATAGGCGGCGCCGCCCAGCCTTGGTCGTTTTACGAACGCGCGCGTGGAGGCTCCAGATACGCATCGCGTCCATAAGCGCCATGAGCTGGCCGACAATGGCGGCCTCTCTCTCTCTCTCTCTCTCTCTCTGATCCGGCGGCGCCTTTAGGGCCCCGAGTCAAGGCCGGTTCCCACACCGACAAACAAGAGGTCCCCTTTACAGCGCCGCTCGTTCGGTGTTGACTTTGTTTCGGACACATTCCTCGACTCTGCATAGAGTCGCACACAAAGAAACACCGTGAGGGCCTCGCGGACAAGCGTTTAGAGGTTTTTTACAGTCCGCGCCGTGCACTCGGCTCGCAGTCTCGTCTCTATCGCCGAGGGAGGAGACTGACCCGGACCGCCCGCGTCGCCAAGCGCACCGAGCGGGATCATTCATAAATCCAAGCAAATCACACACACACACACACACACACACACACGGGGAGGCCGCATCTCATTTTTCAATTAACCGATCCGCACGAACGCCCCTGCCGGCCGCGCGGCGGCCTATTAGAAAAGTATATATACCACACACACACCACACACACATTACAATAACGGGCGAGGCGCGTGATGTGCCCTCGTAATAAAACAATAGCGCGCAAGCGCACACACACACGCACCACATACACACACACACTCTTAACAGGTCAGAGTGCACGATTGCGGATCGGTCCTGAGTGTGTGTGTGTGTGTGTGTGTGTGTGCGCGCGGGTGAGCGCCTGTAGGTGTGTGTATGTGTGAGTCTATGAGCGTGTGTGAGTCAGTCTGGGTGTGTGTGTGTGTGTGAGTGTGCGTGTGGGCGTGTGGGGGGCAGCACCGGGGCAGTGGGTGAGGACGATGCAGGTCAGCATGCCGGCCGGCGGCGCGCGCTCGGCACGGCAAACGGCCGGCAGACCGTAACAGCCACCATATGATCGCTCGCTGGGCGAGTCAAGTCCGAGCGCTTCTGCTCGACAAAAAAAAAAAACAATCAACAAAACCTTGGAAAAGAAAAAAAAACGAAAACAAATCCAACTCTCTTCTTGAATCGTTTCTTTTCCATGTCAACGCTGAAATAATCATTTGCGACGCGCGAAACCAACCTGTTCACTTGCAGTTATTTCTTGTTGGCTTGGCTGCTTTTCTTTTCTCATATCGTTGCGCGTACACGTCGAGCCCCCAGCTGGTCGAATTTATCCCGACGCATTCCAGTCAATACCAGTGCCGGAGATCTACGAGTGTGTGTGTGTGTGTGTGTGTGTGTGCTGCACCGGAGCGCGCGCTCCGAGACGGGCGTGGCGGGGCGTGGCAGGAAAAGATATAGGAGGGATATTAGTGCCAAGGTTCTGCTGTACTCACTCGGTGCGCGTATATGTCTGTCTTGATCCGACACAACTCCGAGGCCCGGGCCTGAGGGAGAAGGGGGAGGGGGGGAGTCCATGCGGTCTTGCTCCAGGGAGAAATGGGGCAAGCACGGCCAAGCGCAGCGTGCCGCGGCTCAGCTAAACCAAACCCACCAATGGCATCGCAGAGAGTCGTCAACAAACTCGAAATAAAAAATACAGCAGAAGCAAACCAAACTTCTTAAGTTTTCCAGTGCCATGTCGAGTGTCACGGCTAAGATAGGCATTAGCAGAAACGTAGGGTCCAATCTGTGGACGCTCCAAGGGGACAATTAAAAAGCTCGCAAGTGGGCAAAAAGCGTGACAAAATCATACAAAATACCAAACAATCCGACACAATCCAACGCAATCTGTGTACAAAGAAACTCTCTCCTTGAGCTAAGTTAGTTGAAAGTCTATCAATCGATACAAAATCTGATCGGAAAACGGTCTTTACGGTAAAGACAGTTCCTGGTTGTCCCAGAATGCCAATGATAAAGACACAGGCCATTTCCAGGGGCTCCTTGGAAAACCAGGAACCGTTTTTACTGAGTGCGAACTCCCTCTACTGTACAGCCCGATCCAGCCTCTTGCCTGCCCGACTCATCAAGGTAACGCACGCTTGCGGCAACCCCGGGCCAGGCCGGGCCGGACCGCGCCGGGACTCGATCCCCTGTCCGTCAGCTCGTCCGGCCACCGTCCGGCCCAGCGGGACGCGGCGGGACGTCCTCCAGCCCCGCCAGCTTCCTGACCCAAAACGGGATCGTTGCACGGCCCGCTGTAACCCCGATGGCTGCGTGCGGGGCCGCGCTGGACGCGCCTCCGGGAGGCGCCCTCGGGGCCCAAGCACGCAACGGGCATCGCAACGCCATAAGCGCCAGGGGCACCGTGGGCCAGGAGACCGGTGGAGGCGGCCAAAATCCCGGACGCGTTTTGAGCTCCTGAGTCGCTAAACGGGGCACGAACCAAACGTGTGATCCCACCAATGGATTGCTCTCCGAACGAGGAATCCATTGGTGGGGTCACACGTTCGATTCGAGCCCTACTTAGCGACTCTGGAGCTCAAAACGCGTTTGGAGTTTCGGCCGCTTCCACCGGTCTGCTGGCCCACTGTGCGGCCGGGCCGACACACGCACAATTTCATCTCAACGCCGTCTCTGCTGCTTCCAGGACGCGGAGCCGAGGGGCCCTCGGCGGAGCACCACCAGCATGAGGCCCGGACCCAGACCAGCGTAGTCACCGACCATAGTCACCTGAGGTGAGCGACCCGTTTTTCCTTTGGCCGCCGCCGCGCAGTGGGCCAGAAGACCGGTGGAGGCGGCCAAAACTCTAGACGCGTTTTGAGCTACTGAGTCGCTTAACAGGACTCGAACCGAACGTGTGACCCCACCAATGGATTGCTCTCCGAACGAGGAATCCATTGGTGGGGTTACACGTTCGGTTCGAGTCCCACTTAGCGACTCTGGAGCTCAAAACGCGTCCAGAGTTTTGGCCGCCTCCACCGGTCTTCTGGCCCACTGTGCGCCGCCGCCGCCGGGTTTCGAACCCGGGAACCGTCGGCGGCCCGACAGCGGAACAGTGGCGGCGGCGGCGGCGGCGGCAGGGTGACAACGACACGCCCGCTGCCTTCCCCATTTCCCGAAAACAGCGGCAACAGCGACAAAAGGACGAGACGGCAACACGACGCCCATCTGGGCTTCAACGTGTCACTGTTTCCGAAGTTTTCTACAATAATTGTCGCACAAAATTTCTCTATTTCTCGTAGATTATTTTTTCGAGTTTTTCTACTATAGCGTTGTTTAGTTTTGCACGGCTTCCAGAGTGTTCTTTACTTCTTTCTAGAAGTACCTGAATGTTTTTCAAGAATTTTAAAAACAAAAATTCTGGCACTTACCAGGATATTTTTTTCGAGGATTGTTTACCTAAGACTTCAATATTTATTTTAGCTTTATTATGAACCCCACAGAAGCATTCGTCCGCATTGTTGCTAGAACTTTTGGGGGAACTTCTCAACCTGAGATGTAAAAAGCGACTGACGATTACGGGTTCCGTTCGTAATCCACGTAATCATCAACCGATCACAGAATAGAGCGCACGGCGCAGCCGCCTGGCCTGCGTCATTCGCTCCTCCAGAGGCGTGGACTCGCCCGGCCACGCACAGTGGGCCAGAAGACCGGTGGAGGCCGCCGAAACTCTAGACGCGTTTTGAGCTCCAGAGTCGCTACGCAGGACTCGAACCGAACGTGAGACCCCACCAATGGATTCCTTTCGGAGATCAATCCATTGGTGGGGTCACACGTTCGGTTCGAGTCCCATTCAGTGACTCTGGAGCTCAAAACGCGTGTCTAGAGTTTGTCCGCCTCCACCGGTCTTCTGGCCCACTGTGCCACGCCGCTTACGGCCGGCCCCCGTTGCGACACGTGGAGGAAGCCCGGCGTGCCGAGCGCTGCACCGCCGTGCACTGCCCGCCGCGACACGGCGCGACACGAAGTGACACGTCGCGGCGTCGCGTCCTTCCGGCGAAAAGTGACACACAATCCCGCGGCGCACTTTGCTCTGCTCTACATAGCGCGCCCAGCCACAAAAAATTAGTTTTTGTTCTAAAAAAAAGTTGTGTAGTGACTTAAAACCTTAGAACTTATAATAAACGTAAAATTTGAATTTTGTTCAGAGAGTTGAGAAAAAATAAAGCAAAGTTCGAGTTTCGAGGACACAATCATTTTTTGGCAAAAAGTTACAATGGAAAATTATCGTGGGTTAATGTTTTAAGTAGAAAATCTCTTTTTTTTTCGGTGAAATTTTTCAGTAAATGTAAAATTTTAATTTTGAAATTTGAAAGGAAGAAAACGCGCGTTTTTCTTTTTGTTTTGTTTTTTAACGAGGAAGGCAGCCGTATCCACGGCAAAACTTGAAACAGCACTGCGCGAACGGCTATCCAAACTAACGGCAATCGTCTCAAAGTGAGCCTCAAACAAAAGACCCCGCGCCAATTCATTTCAAAATCGCCGCCAAACGCCAAGAAAATCGGCGCGAGCGGAGCGGCGGCTCGTACTTTCTCAAAGGCACTCTCACTCCCACACTGTCTCGTCCGGTACACCACCCGATGGAACGCGCCAGACAGGGGACGGGGCCATTAAGCAATTAAAGGACAGCGATATGGTGGCGCCGATAGGCATCGCGACTCCCGGGAAGGAGGACCGCGGCCAACTCCGGCCGAGCGGTTCGTCGCTCTGTCTCTCTCGCACCCTCGCGGGGAGCCCCACGAGTGCGACAAAGACAGAGCGGCGAAAAGACTGCTCTCCAAATAACTCCAGAAAGGGCCAGAGGACCGCTGAGGTGGCCAGAATTCTATACGCATTTTGAGCTCCGAACCGAACGTGTGACCCCACCAATAGACTCCTCGTTCGAAGAGCAGTCCATTGGTGGGGTCACACGTTCGGTTCGAGTCCCATTTACCGACTCTGGAGCTCAAAACACGTCTACAATTTTGGCCGCCTCGCCGGTCTTCTGGCCCACTGTGCGCTCGGCGGTAGCAACCGCGGAAGGGACGAACACAAACGCAGCCGACTCACCGCGCGAAGACGAAAACGCCGCCGCCTCCGAGCGCCTCACTAACCTGCAAAGACAAAAACAGAAAGTCGTCACAACAACAACAAAAACAACAACAGCATCAGCAGCACGCTCTGCCTACATGCAGAGCGATGCAGAGCGGGTCGCCGGCTTGTCGGTTAGCAGCGATCAAACGCCTCTGTAGTGTAATGTCGCGAACCGGCTCCAAGCAGACTGATTCCGAGAGTCGCCGCTCCGTCTCTTGCGCACCGACAGGGGCTGCGCCACGAGTGCGAGAGAGACGGAGCGACGACTCTCGGAATCAGTCTGCAGCCTTCGTTGGTTCGTTCGCGAGCGCGCGACTTGCAGACGGCCAGACGCCCGCACGCCACGCGCCACCACCGCCATCTCCGTCTCTCTCGCACCCACGTGGCACGCCGCACAGTGGGCCAGAAGACCGGTGGAGGCGGACAAAACTCTACTCTGCAAACTCAACAGTGTACTCAGTACACTCTCTTTAGAGTGTACTCATGAGTAGACTATCTTTAGCGTGTACTCATGAGTACACTCTCTTCAGCGTGTACTCACGAGTACACTCCCACGAACGTGTACTCAGCTGCATGAATTGTGCAGACTTAAGCACACTCTCGTTAGATAGTGTACTCAGCTAAGCACACTTTCGTTAGAGTGTACTCAGCTAAGCACACTCTCGTTAGAGTGTACTCAGCTGAGCACACTCTCACAGGAGTGTGCCTATGAGTACACTCCAAATAGAGTGTACTGAGCACTCTGTACAGTTTGCAGAGTAGACGCGTTTTGAGCTCCAGACTCGCTAAATGGGACTCGAACTGCACGTGTGATCCCACTAATGGATTCCTCGTTCGGAGAGCAATCCATTGGTGGGGTCACACGTTCGGTTCGAGTCCCATTCAGCGACTCTGGAGCTCAAAACGCGTCTGGAGTTTTGGCCGCCTCCACCGGTCTTGGCCCACTGTGCGCCGGCACGGCCCACGGCCGCGAGTGCGTGCGAGAAGGACAGCAGAGCGCCACTCACGCTAAAAATTTTCTCGAACCTTCGAAGGAATACCGCCGAAAATACGGCGTGAATCGCGACAGGGGTTTGCCGTCGAAGCACGGTGCGAGGCGCACGTCACGGCTGACATAACCTAGCTCTGAGTTGCATATCCGCTTTTAACCGGGACATCCTTGGACAATTTACACAACTGACCCTAAAATAAGATTCTACGTGAAATTTTACGTTGCCTTGCTAGTATATTCCGTGTCCTGTTACATAAAATCCCAATTATATTTGATCTGACGAAGGAGCGTCGAACATGGACGGCAAGCCGTTCGGCGGAAGGCCGTCGAAGCACAACGGGGCCTCATGGGCCCGGGCACTCCCACCGAGCTTCGGCGGACCTTCATCGGCCGCGTCATCGGCTTTCGGCGGCGTTCGGCGGGTGATTCCACCGAACTTAGACGCGGCGCGACAGTTGTCCGCCGAAGAAGGCTATTTACGCCGAATTTTCGGCGGGGCTTTTCGAAAAAAGTTTTAGCGTGCTCGCGGCACTGACTCATAAATCGCGGCCAATAAGCAAAACTGGCAAGCGGCACCCGTCGGACCGCCGCCGGGGGTCTCGGGCAGCCTCGGGTCTGTAGCATGCCGCAGCGGGACGACGCGAGCGCCACACTGTATTTACGAAATTCCGACCGCGCCTCGTGGCGAAACGGAGACAGTGGTCGCAGAAGTTGGAGTTTAAAAGGCAGACGACCAGCGAAGACAGCTAATCTCTCGACGCGTTTGAAGCTCCAGAGTCGCTACATGGGACTCGAACCCAACGTGTGACCCCACCAAATGGATTGCTCTCCGAACGAGGAATCCATTGGTGGGGTCACACGTTCGGTTCGAGTCCTATTTAGCGACTCTGGAGCTCAAAACGCGTCCGGGGTTTTGACCGCCTCCACCGGTCTTCTGGCCCACTGTGCGCCGCTGCCGTGCGACCGCGGAATTCCGCCAGTGATCCCGCACCGCAGCGCAGAGGAAAGAAAATTAGCGACGAGGCAATCCGCGAATTCCACCCTCCCGGCGCCAACAACAACATCGACACCACCACCACCACCCACAACAACAACAAAGTACGCCGGGGAAGTCCCTCCCCCCTGACACGCTCCGTACGCCCACCGCCCCCCTCCTCTCCCCCTTCGTTACCTTCGCAGCCTGCTCCATATCTCGCGGGCAGTGTTCCGACTGGCGGGGCGTGGCGGGGCGTGGCGGCTGCAGCTGCACAAACCAGCCAGCCGATATTATGCAACGGCCGCCTCGGTATACGGCATGCCGCCGCCGCCCCCCTCCACACCGCCTCCTCCCCCGCCAAACGGCCAAAAACAAGGCTCTCGGAGCAAATCGGACAACGCATCGTACACGTGCCGCGCGGGGGAGGGGGGGGGAGGCAAGGCTGCATAGGAGGCTGACGGCGGGCCCCGGCGCGCATACAGTTTGCATAGTAAAGAGGACCCCCATCGCCTCGCCCAGCATGATCGGAACGGCTCCGGCGAGCGACCGCGGTACCGGTTCCAGAGCGCCGGGGTTCGACTCCCCGCGCCGCCGCTCGTTCGCTTTTAAAAGGATCCCGAGCCGCCAGATCCAAATATCACACACAATGTAGCGAATCGTAAATCACATGAAGACAAAGTCGTCGCAAAATCATT